TTTTCCGAACAGTGCCTGTAACACGGCCGGTTACACGTTAACTCGTTCCTGCTTCTGCGCCCTGACCGTAGTTGGAATGCAAAGGGGAGACTCCAGGGCTAATGCTAACATTAGCTCCGGGGCTAACTCCCTTCACTTTGTGCTTGTCCGCAGCAGAGGTAAACAGAAACAGGGAAGTTGGGACATACGCTACTAGCATAACACACAGTAGCCTACCAGAAAAGTCATTGATGCTAGCAGTATGAAGTTCGTTAGCCCGTAAAACAAATCCATAAGTTAGCCTCATCATCGTTTAAGCCGCAGGGTTCAAAGCGTTTGGAAAAAAAGTAGCGGCTTTTAGTCCGGAAATTACGGTAGTTAATGTGCATTAGTTGAGGAGCGACTGCGCATTACTTTGCACGTGAGTTGGTTGCGGTTGAGTTTAATAAGTATTGATCGCATTTTCTGGTTGCGGTTGAGTTTAATAAGTATTGGATCGCATTTTCAAAAAAAAAAGAGTAGGAATATTTGAATGCCAAATGATTATTAAATTACATAAAATACATAAAATGGTAAAATAAAATGAACATTTTCTTGTTTAACACAGATTTGAGATCCACTCTCCCGAAGTTGCCATTCTTCATTTATCTATTATTTTTAACCTTAGCTTCGATGATTTACACAAACCAGTTCAATCTCAGTGTCCACTCATCGTCCACCTGGAGGCAGAGGAGACGACTGCATCAGGAAGCCGAGTGCGTCTTCCACTTACGGGACTCACGGAGGACAAACACGACTTCAAATGACGCTGTAACTGCATTTCACAGCTTTTAAAACTTTGGCTAACAACATTACAGAGCCATAAATGAAACTCGAGTGGGTTGAGTGTCAGAATGACCGCAAGGGTTCCTGTTGCTCTCTCTGCATCAGCCTGACAGGAATAGCTGTGGTCATACACGCGAGAGAAATGGAAACACCAATGAACTTCAAAGACTTCAAAGACAAATGGCAAAAGAAAAATCATATAAATCCGGGGGTGGAGGTTATTTGGACAACAGTGGTTAAATAATAACACCAGACTGTATGCACTTGTTAAGGTGTTAATTAGTGTTAATTTTTTTTAACCAATTAACACCACAGTTTACAAGTCACTCGGCTAATTCAAGGTTAGCTTGAGTTAGCCAATGGATTGATCATTGAAGAAAATAACAAGAAAAACAAGGTGGAAAAAGTTTAAGATGACCGAGGAAAATTAACAATAGCATAAAGCTAATACAGAATTAAGCTAGAATACGTTTTAATCATTGACAATTAGCAATGTTAGCTGTGAAAATAAGCAAACAGAAGCACGCATTTACAGGGAAAAGCCATGAAAAACCAAAGGGTTTGACAAAAAATTAAAAAAAAAGAGGAAGAATCATTCAAAGTTCACTCAGAAATAGTAGCGATCTAGCTTTAAAATACATGATAATAGCTTAGCTTAGCCTAGGAAGATAAGGAAAATAACTATGAACTACGACTAAAATCTGTTTGTATAGCTAAACATTAGCTACACAAACATTTATTGAGAAAAGTAGATGGTAAAGACAATGAGAAAATTAGCAATATTAGCTGTGAAAATAAGCAAACAAAAGTTAGCATTCCTAGGAAAAAGCCATGAAAAACCAAGATGTTTGACACAGATTTTTTTAAAAACGGGTGGAGTCATAGTCATAGTTAACTTAGAAATAGCTACAACCTAGCATTAAAATGCATGACAATAGCTTAGCTTAGGAACGTGTAGGAAAGTAATTATAAACAATAACTATAAATATTTGTATAGCTAAACATTAGCTACACAAGGATTACACAGTCAGAGAGGATTGCATCAATGCAGTGCTTCGCAATAATTTGTCATCGCCCACTAGGGGGCAGAAATTTTTTTCACACCCCACCAAATTGAAATACAGTTGATAATGTAATAATATGTATTTTCCTATTCGTAAAAAAACCCTGTATGAGTTGCTGCCACCTAGTGACAGGAAGCTTGTTTATCGTTCAAGGATTACTGCATTGGAAGCCTCTCACACCCAACCCCAACCCTCCGGGCACCTCACTGCGCCCCGCCCCACTATTTGAGAAACACCGCATTGATGAACGATAAAAAAAAAAAAAAAAAAATCGCATTTCTTCCCGATGCACTAGCTCTTCCAGATTATTGTCACACCGCACCTCGTTGTCAAGAGAGGGTAAATATCACTCCTCCCTGAACCGTTCCTCCTTATTTGTTTTAATTTCTTTTGTCGTGACCGAGATGCTGTTTTGTGGCTCAATCATCCGGCGCAGACAAATTATCTGTCGTTTCAACTGCTTAACATTCACGCAGGTGACATTTACAGCCACGCTGCATTGCAGATAATGGGTTGTAATGTGTCGTGGCCCAAAGGCACCTTGTACGACACAGGTACAGGAGATTGGATTTACTTATATAGATAACATCCCACAACCCAAGGAAAGGAGAAGCCATTCCAGCCAGATGTAATCTGCCTTCTGGTACTGCTCCGAAAAGGAGAGCACAATTTTTTTTTTTTTTTGAACAGATAAACTAAGATATTCGTAAAGTAGAGGTTTACAAGGTTTTAATTTAGAAGGGTTGATTCACGAAGAGATTATAATCATCTGCTTACAATTACAAGACGGTTAATTGCCCTGTTGTGCTGCTACGTTTTCAAGATAACAAAAAAAAAAAAAATTAGCATTTATACAGTAGACCTTTCACACAGTTGGGTTTCTTCAGCATATTTGTTTAGAGTACGACACGTTTGTATTTTAATAAACAACTAAAGGTCCTGATTCAACCAGGACTAAATGTTTGTTTTAATATAAATTTTAAATTCCCACTGGATGTTGTTTGAATTAAGCTAATTTCTGATAAAATCCAGACATAGAAACGTTGCTTTGTTCTTTTTGTTCCTACTGGTGCAGAGAAGGATTCATTTGGACAAAAGCAAACGTCCAATACCTTCATCAACCGGGGAACCTGAATTTAATACACAATTTAATGACGTTGAATTAAGCCTGGGCCCGCAGCAGTACCTGACCTATCGTCATCAATTTCCAATGCTTAATTATTTTTACCAGAGATACCAGAACCATCCCCAGCAGTCGGGGGGGGGCGACAGCAGGAGACTCGCACTTTGGTCAATTCGTAAAGTATTCACGTAATCCTCTAACCACGTGTTGTCGTACCACACATCTTCTAGGGCTTCGTACTTAGCACTTGTAACCGTAATGCAACGTGTTGTCGTACAATAGCCCAGTTTGTTTTTTTTATAGTTTTATCCTTCACATCACTATAAAACAGGTACCATATTTTGTTTGGACTTGAGTCGCTCTGGAGTATAAGTCGTACCAGCCATAATCTGCATAATAAAGAAAAAAAAAAAAAAAAGTCGCTCCAAAGTATAAGTCCCACCAAACAAAAGATGACAAAAGACTTACAGGAGTAGCAGATATTGATATATACATATATATATACATATACATATATACATATATATACATATATATATATACATACATATATATACATACATATATATACATACATATATATACATACATATATACATACACATATACACATATATATACACACACACATATATATATACACATATATATACATACATATATACATACATATATACAAATGTATACATATATATACATACACATATATATACATATACATATATTTTGATACACAAGCTTAGAGTGCCCTCTAGCGGCGGTCAGTGTAAAATTAGGAATATCTAACTTTTTAGTTGTACAGGAATAGCAGACACTAGTACACAAGCCTAGAACGCCCTCTAGCGACAGTCAGTGTAAAAATAAACTCGTGAAATTATATATTTTAAATATATAAGTCGCACCAGCCAAAAGATGAAAAAAAAAAAAAAGTGCGACTTGCAGGAGTAGCAGATACTGGTACACAGGCCTAGAGTGCCCTCTAGCGGCAGTCAAGGTAAAACTAACGAACATCAGTGAAATTAGTTGGAAATGTTGCACACGAGTATAAGTCGCAAACACAAGCCAAAGAATAAAAAAAAAAAAGGTGCGACTTATAGTCTGGAAAATATGGTAAATATGTCAGACCTATGACAACCAGTTCATTAGGAGAAGGAAAAAAAAAACCGCGACTTATAGTCTGGTAAATATGTCAGACCTATGACATTAGGAGAAGGGAAAAAAAAAAAAACAAAAAACAAAAAGCTCAGGTTTAAATAACATTTACTTCCCAACAGAACACACGTATACAGAGACGACCAGTGGGGTACAGATAAGAAAATCGCAGTCAAAATTCCAAAAAGTGAGCGGCGACAACGAGGAGGAACAGCAGAATTTCATCCGTACGCAACATGAGCAGTCTCGCTGTGGAGCCCTTCTTGGTCAAGCTAACTTTAAATCACACAGGCAAAACAAAAACACAAAAAGAAGCAGCAAATTCATTAAAAAAAAAAGAAGAAAAAAAAAAAAGAAAAGAAGAAAATTACACCCAGACCAGAGGCAGGAATGGTTTTTGGACTGGTTTCAACAGTAACTTGGAAAGATGAGATCAGAGAAAAAAAAACACTGTTACGGCTCAAGTTTGCAGCATTTAAACAACAGATCTCAGAGGTAACCGATTTTTATAAGTGATCAAGCGGATGGTTATGAGGGGGGAGGAACAACAAGGAACGGTCAACGTCACTGATCAATCCCTGCCGATAGCGTCCATTTAGTAACGAACCCCACCTGAACAAAAAGGTGGATTAACAGGTCACGGAAAAATGCATCGTCCACCCAGAGTCGTAAAGACGTCACAACGTAAGTCAAACACAAAAACAAAAAACAAAAAAGACATGAACACAAAGAATTACAAAAATCCTCTTCTTTAAGCTCCTAGTGGATCCTAACTCAACAACCAGTTTAGGGAACAGAAAATAAANNNNGGAGGGGAAAAAAAAAAAAAAAAGGGAAAGGGGGGGGGGGGGGGGAAAAAAAAAAAAAAAAAAAAAAAAAAAAAAAAAAGAGAAGACAACGTGGAAAAGCTGAATGTTTGAAAAGGAATTTAAAGGAGGAAACTTTCAAGTACGTGCAGCCGGATAGAGATCTGAACGTGAACCGGTGAGGAAGAAACTCGAATCCAGAAAAGTCTTTCATCACAATACAATACTAAAATTGGTGGTAAGGGAGGGGGTGGGGGGGACAGAAAACACACACACAAACATCATAAAACTGCAACTCAACTTTTTACATTGAAATACTTCTTCAAAAGAGACCTTGCTGAGGTAAAGCTGAAATTGTTGAAGCCCCCCCACCCCCTTTAACAAAATAAAAGCCCTTGAAAACTGGCCAAACTATGTGGCACCGCTGATAATCACACTGATAATCAACATAGGAAATGAAGGAAAAAAGAAAAAAAAAAAAAAAAAATCATTTTCTAAATATCCATATTTTCTCACTGTACAAGATTATCAACAAAAAAAAAAAACTAAAACTCAAATAAAAAGATTAGGTAATTTAAAAAAAAATATATAATTTAACAAACTAAAATCATATTTACACACACACGCATATAACCAGAGTTACCACAAAATAAGGTTCAAATAGTGAGAGGCTGGACTCCCTACTGCCCCCTGGAGGTCAGTCACAGAAGTAGGGCTGAACTTTGTGTCCGGGCTATTTGGACGAGCGGTGAACGATATTAGAAGATGCGCTTCCTCTTCAGGTAGGAGTCGGCGTAGTGTCCGCCCAGACCCTGAGAGTGTTGGCCGACGTAGCCGCCCTCGGGACTCGGCTCCGGGGATGGGATCAGACGAGAGAAGTCGCGCTTGTGGCAGCCAATAGGAGTCTGATTAATAAAGTTGGCGGGGAGAGAAAAGAAAAAAAAAAAAAAAAAAGAAAGAGGAAAGGTTAGGTTTTTCTAAATTAAAAAAAAAAAAAAAAAATTAAATTTACCTAGCGTGCTCCCCACCCGTAATTTTGCCGTCACCCCTAGGGGGCCTGCCCCCCCACTTTGCAAACCAAAAAAAAATTGAATGATGTGTAGACGAAATGTAACTACAACACTTCAGTGTCAGAGGAAATAACGTATTAAAGCTAGAATTGACAAATGGAATAAAAGGTCGTTAGCATTCCTAAAACAAATTACATCTCCCCCTAGTGTACACATAGTGAATGACATCTTACATTTGACTGCACATGAAGTGAATACGAGTGCGAGTTAAAGGATTATAGAAAGGATTACCGCGAGTACACTAAGTCTTTTCGGATTTATTACGTCGTTCCAGTGAGCGGTCCGGATTTAAGAAGGTCAGGGTTATGGTGCGAGTTTTTTTTTTTTTTTTTTTTTTTTAGTATAATTGGCTTAAAACATTTTGCTAACATGCCACACAGTCATAATTATCCAACAGTGGCCTCAGACTGAGTAGACATATTGTATCTCTCCACCATTCGTGGCAGGAAACTTTTTTTATTCCGATAAGGATTCAAACATTTCTGGCAAAAGTTATTGTTTGCTACATTTGTTCCAAATTGAAAATCTGGACTCGGGCCTTGAGGAGCCTTGAGGAACTCTGAAATGGATATAGCTGCCACATCAGCACTTCTAATCCGACTATGAGACGACGACAACAACAAGAGCAGAGGAGGTTAGGGACCGTCTCCAAAACCTGGTGTTTGCGCTCAAATAGCTAATTTAAAAGTTCTGCGCCGACAGCAGCGTCTGTCCTGTAGTTGGTCGATACACGCGATCGCGCTGATGTTCTCCGCGGGGGGGTAAGTATCTTTCACGCAGAGATGCTAAGCTAGAAGCGTCTCCGTGTAGACCACTGGTTCTCTATTATTTGCCGTCGTGCGCCCCCTTGGGGACAGAGATGTTTTCACGCATGTATAATTTTTTTTCTGTACAAAACAACTGTACGAGTTGCTGCCACCTAGTGACTGGAGGCTTGCCCTGTAGTACACAGGAGAAAAAAAAAAAAAAAAAAAAAAAAACACGGACATGATATAAACTATATGGAAATTTGACCTTCATTTCGACAAAACAATTCATACACGCATACGCCTCGCTGTTACCATAAACAAATAATTATCTGGAGGAGAATCGGAAACTATGTTTGGAGTGACAAGTTCCATTCATGTTGTAACCAAAATTGTTAAAGAAGTAACAATAATTTATGTTGTTCAGGTAATAGAGTAAAAGTTGTTTTGCTTTATATTGTACCTGACAGTTCATCTGTGGCATCAGCAAGTCTAGTTCATTCCAAGGTACAAGAAAAATGAATTATATTCCACAATAAAGGAACCAAAGATGTATTATCACGGCTGGCGTACGATTAAAATCTCAAATCTGAGGTAGCTAACCAGGTAGCTGCTGGTTAATCATGACTGTAACAAACCACAATTAATCATGATTATTTAAGATACAATTAAAATTATTATGTTATATTTTCCCAAATGTTGGTGCTGCCGTATTTAACAATATTAATCTACAATCGCGTCAAAGCTGCTGGTCTGAGACGATGTAAAAGCATCCTGGGTGTTAAGATGGTATTTTAAGCCCAACACGCAAAACATTTTCCTGCCGTGTGTATTGACCTACAGTAAGTGGACAGATGGTTAGCGTAACTGGATAAGCGTATATGCACATCCTTCTGTCCGTTTTATCTCAACATGATTAATGCTAATTTTTTTTGACGGCTTCAATTCAAATGTATATACGCCACATTTAAAAAACATGTAGTAGAGTGTGTGTGTGTGTCACCTTCATCATATTCCCCACAGTGGGTTGATAGTCGCTGGCGTGACTCACTGGCGGCCTTCCTACAGCCTGTGGACACAAACGCCTCTCAGTGACCTCTTCGCTTCAAACATATGCATTCACAGAAAAAAAAAAAAAAAAACATTCTTTGATGGGTCGTTCACACCGAAAGCAGTAGCGGTTCCACATACACGATCGATGTAAATAGCGCGCAATTTAATGTCAGGGGCCGGTGCGATTGGAGCTTCGGATATGGCGCGGATGAAGCGGAAGAACGTCCGAGTGAACTGAAAGTGACTGAATGGAGTAGGAAAAGATTGACCTTTTCGGGCCGTGACATCCAATTAGCGACAAGTTTATCCCTGCGGTAAGCGGAGAAGTTCGTGAACAACGGCGGACAGGGTTATCATCACCGTGTACGGGCACCGACAACGCTAGCTATTTCATTGGGAATGGAATGAGAGAAGAAGTAAAAAAAAAAAAAAAAAAAAAAAAAAAAAAAAAAGGAGGCATGGGCTAATGTTAGCCAGAAGGTGAGACTCGTGAGAGGGCGCAACAAAGGAAATGAGGTCCAAAAATTGATCAAGCGGCGCAATTTCCGCCTCAGTCGCTTTTGATGTGAACGCCCCCCCATTAGAATTATTTCACACATGTTTTTTATGCTGACGACCAGTTAGACAGTTACGCAGCCTTATGTTTACCCTGTTGAGTTGGGAAGGCAGGTGGCTTCCGTCGGTGGAGGCTTCAGGTTCGGAGCTGAAATAAGCAGACGCGGGGGGGCTGGGGGGGTAGCCGTAGCTGGGGAGCTGCTTGCTGAAGTCAACGTTGTGAGATGGCTGACAACGACAGATTGGAGAGGACGGAAAGATGTTAATTCGACGTGGCTGTGTTCTATACCCAGCCGAGCAGGTGATTTAATTACTCTCTCGCAGTTTGGTAAAGGAAAAAAAAATAAAAATTTTTTACCTGCTGTCCGAGCGCTTCAAAGGCCCCGATGCCAAGGTTCTCCTGCTGTTCGTACAAGTGAGGCAGAGCATCCTGAAAGGAAAAAGCCAGATGGATATCAAACCGAATTAAAGCATACGAGGCACTAACAAAATATTCCCCGTGGTTAAGTCATCTTAACATGTCGTCTTTATTCTCCCACATAACGCAGCAAATGCAGGAGGGAAAAAAAAAAAAAAAAAAAAAAAAAAAAAAAAAAAA